CACACTCACACACACACACTTACACTACACCCTGAAATTTGTCGCCTTTCTTATCTTCTTTCTTTCCTCCATCCTGTCTCCTTCTCCATATTCCTTTCTTCATTCCAATGACTGTGTCCCTCATTTCTTCTCTTCGTTCTTCCCTCCATCGCCTCTTTCAAGTTCCTTCCCTCATTCTGATGATTGTATCTCTAGATGTGTCCCTCCTTTTTCCTTTTCCTCTATGGGTGGTTGACGGGTGCTTTTGTGTGGTTTTCTCATTCTTTAAATCAAACATATGTCATCCTTAACTCTCCTCCTTTTATTTGCATGTTACTCTCTAGTAACACCTCTAATCTTTGGCATTTATATGACCTAAGATGTGTTGCAAGTGCAGTAACTTCTTTACAATAGTTGTGTCTCTTCCTATCCTCCTTACTGTTCCTTCTCTCATTCCAATGTTTGTGTCCGGGTGTGTCCAGGTCAAAGGTCAGATGAGCAAAGCATGCCAAGCCGGTTTGACCTCTGTCTCGGTAGAGTGGTGTCAACATGACAACCTCCCAGCCCTGCAGGCCCCAGAACACATCACGTCGCTCTTCAACGGCTCCAGGCAGGTGGTTTATGGGTTTGTCCCCAACTGTACCATGGTACGTTCTTTTATTTACAGCTTTTTACGATATTATGCTTTACTATGGTACATTCTGTGAATGTTTGGTCAAGTTTAAATCTTTGTATGATATTATGTTGTACTATAGTACGTTCTGTGAATGTTTGTTCAAGTTTGGATCTTTTTATGATATGTTGTACTATAGTACGTTCTGTGAATGTTTGTTCAAGTTTACATCTTTTTATGATATGTTGTACTATAGTACGTTATGTGAATGTTTGTTCAAGTTTACATCTTTTTATGATATTACTCTTTACTATGGTACGTTCTTTGAATATTTTTTCTAGTTCCCATCTTTTTATGACATAATTTGGCATGTGGTTGTTTGGAGGGCACCCCTGGTAGGTCCTACTTCTTTACTTTCTCTCTTTTGTTTCTGTCTCTCTGTCTGTCTGCCTTACTTTTTCCCAGCACTAAATGACTATTATTGTGTCGATGTGCTTCTCTTTTCTCAAACACACAATTATGATATTACCTTACTGGATTGAATTGGACTTAACTATGTATCTCCGGCTAGCCGATCTTAGCAGCTGGCGGTTGGAACCACTGTGCTGGTGAGCCGCTAGCTATGGCTCGGGCACATTCCTTTATGACGACTTCGACATCAAATTATTTTTCGGTAATTGACAAAAACAGGTCTCTTTTATCAGAATTTCATTTTGGTAGATGAAGAACTATCAAAACAGGTTCCCTTGTTTTGATTTAATGACCCATTTAGTGACATTTTGGTCATTTTTAGATTTAGTACCAAAACAGGGCCCCTGCATAGTAGGTTTACCCCCCATGGAGATAGTAATTGATCAACATTTGAGACTGTATAGAAGTGTTCACCGCACGTAGTCTTTTAAAATTTTTATTTTTTTGCCCTTGGGGTGTTTCTTATTTCAGAACTGGACAAATTTTATGGATACTGTTTTCTGATTGCAACTCTTTGTCTCGTGTCTGTGGTACATTTGTCATCAGATATGATTATACAAATAGTCGAACATTTCTCTGCTAGCCAGAATTGGTCTCATCGACCACAGCAGAAGCCACAAGTCATCTTGACCTTTAAGTTCTTCAAATTCTTCTATTTTGCTAGAGAAATATTCTCCTTTGCGGATCTTTTGGTATCGTCAGAAGATGACGGGCGAGCTATTAAATTATTATTATTATCATTATTATTATTATTATTATTATAATAATACATCTCAGATATACTTTTTGCTTTGTTTTCCATTCTCACCTGTCCATCACCTTTATTAAGTATATTATGTGTGGGTTGTTGTTTTTTTCCACAGGCGGTTCTGAAAGCCAAAGTGGGTGGTCAAGAGGTGTCCACAGTTGTGTCTACTTCGGAACTCTCCATTACTGAGGGGCTGGTGAGTTGTCCATTTCAAGTATAAGATAAGATAAGATAAGATTCATCTTTATTGTCCAGATCCTGGCACATTGGTTTGGTGTTTCACCACGCGCGCACGCACACAC